GAATAAAGAAATTTAGCTTTTTGCAGCAAAACTGTCTCAAAACTGAAAAAACAAAACGAAGGGTGTCATGATCGGGAGAATATTTTAAAGATCTTTTGTTGAAAACCGCATGTCGATTGATGCAGCCATTAAAAAACCTTTTGAATAGCAAAATTCAGCCACCACAAATAGATAATAGAAATGGACACACATTGCATATCCAATGAACGGAGAATTTTTATCTCTTCAATACACAATATGTTGTATTGATAGTTTCAAACAAAATGAAAAACAAAGCAATCACAAATACCACGTAAAACTTGGACTTAACATTACATGTGCTCATTGTTATTTTGCTTAGAAGCCATGGTTGTTGGGTTGTTGTTTTTTGGTAAGGCAGGAACACTTTGTCAAGTTTTGGACATAATTATCTGTCATTTCATCCCAAATGTCACAGAGAGATGCAAGCAAAGTGTCTGAATTGGAAGCAAAAACGATTTCCTTCAGCTGCTGTTTATGAGACTTCACATACCTGAAGGATTCATATTGGGGCTATTTACTGGTGATCACTAGTGGTATTGGTCCTGTGAGAAAGTGCTTTGCCAAGCATGGAGATGCCGACTTGAATGACACTATAACAAAAATAAAGATAAAACATGACGTCCCAACACTCGCGCGTTGTCGTCCATTAAACCAAGCCACCCCGTGATTTACACGAGGGCAGTTTTGTTCATTCCATCCCAGACCACACAAAACTATGGCAGTTTCGTGCCCTCTGTTCCTCACTGACAGATGCTTATATCAACATTTTAACTAACACAGTCCAAGTGCAAAAAAAGGGTTCGTGCTCTACATGAAACCAATAGCTCCTAAATAAAACCAAAATCATACTAAAGATCACATTTTATGTTAAGTCTTAGTTTTGCATGGTGATTGTGACTACTCTGTTTTCTAATCTGTTTGAAAATATCACCAGAAGATACTTTTTATTGCAGAGACAATATTATTCTTTTTTCATTTGATATTCAATACATACAAATTCCATTAACGTTGATGCACAATATTTTGCCAAGCCTTTTTTTTGCAGTCAAATTTTGAGAGACCATTTTTAGGACGTCTTTTGACATAGATGAAATAATCATGTTTCAGATTATGCAGAATTTATTTAGATTTAAATTGGTGCGCTGCATGAATTGGTAGTGCAAGGCTTTAACACGATGATTGGGTGATTTCATTTTCAAGTTTCTTTTGGGCGTCACTGTATATTAATATTTTGAGAGCTATTTGTGAAAATCTGTGAAGGCTGGTTGAAAAATCGCACATCCTGCCTGGTATATAACACGATAACGTCAGGAACTACGGCATCTAACCAAGGCACCTTCCTGTCGCATGTCTACAATTCACCCTCACTATCATGTTGCTCCTTAGACTATAAAGTAGGAGCAGATATTCTTAATAAGTTCACTTTGTCATTTATCAAGAGATGGCATTTATGCGTGGCAAAAGTATTGCAAATAAAAGTGTCATTGATGAGCAGTGACGTCGGCCAAATGCGTGAGCAGTGCACACACACACACACACACACACACACACACACAGTTTGTGTGTGTGTGTGAGTGTGTGTGTGTGTATGTGTGTGTGTGTGAGTGTGTGAGTGTGTGTGTGTGTGTGTGTGTGTGTGTGTGTGTGTGTGTGTGTGTGTGTGTAGACAGTGGTACTCGTTTTCAACGGAGTCATCGGGCCTGCCTTTCAAGTTCATTGAATCCGGGTGTTTGTTATAGCAAATATGAGGTTTTTGTGTATATAATTACAGACATCAAGCAATTAATGTACAGTTCATCCGACTTTCTCATTCAAAAGTAGTTTGGTTTCAAATAAGAAGTATTTTTATTTCTTTGATGCCATACCGAAGAAATGCTGAACAATTTCAGGAAAACCACTGAGCTCTACGAAACACACACTTTGCAAATGGGCTGATTCGTTCAAATGCAGACATGTGAATGTGACATCTATAATCCCATCCACAACGTCCGTCCGACCCCGACACATGCTAATACATGTGTGCGTGCTAACAACGTGTGTTTTGGTCTGAAAGAAGGCCGGTGATTGGTCGCATAAGATATAAATAATAGGCTAAGCAAATAATGTTTCACGATGCAGGTGTCATGGGAGGTTTCCAGGAAGTGATCAACTATATATATAAATATATATATATATATATATATATATATATATATATATATATATATATATATATATATATATATATATATAATACTCCACTACATATAGGCTACATATTATAAAAAATACAATATAGCCTCAGTTGCTGCGGATGATTCAGATAAGGCAAATCAGTACAACCTGCTGTGCAAAGTATGGGTGATCTTTTAAAAACTCTTTCAGTGTGTACAGTTAGGGGAATATTGCTTATGATAAATCCGTCATGTATTTCTAATCAGGAAATTATGCTTATTGAACGCATGCCAGTGCAAAAAAGTGTTCACTATAAAATTCATTT